CCAAAGCAGTGCATCGGTGCGCGCCCGGGATCCGAACCAGCGAACCCCGGGCCGCCGCAGCGGAGCACGCGCACCCAACCACTTGCGCCACCGGGCCGGCCCCCAGTTGCATTTCTACACACTAATAACGAACTAGCAGAAAGAGAAGTCAAGAATAATCCTATTTATAACTGCAACAAAAAGAATAAAATATCTAGGCGTAAACTTAACCAAGGAGGTGAAATACCTATACACTGAAAAATATAAGACATTATTGAAAGAAATCGAAGACGACATAAAGAAATGGAAATATATTCCACGCTTATGGATTGGAAGAATAAACACAGTTAAAATGTCCATATTACCTAAAGCAATCTACAGATTCAATGCAATCCCAACCAGAATCCTCCTGACTTCAAAATGTACTACAAAGCTATAGTAATCAAAACAGCATGGTACTGGCACAATAACAGACACACAGATCAATGGAACAGAACTCAAAGTCCAGAAATAAAACCACACACCTATGGACAAATAATCTTCGACAAATGAGGCAAGAACATAAAATTGAGAAAGGAAAGTTTCTTCAATAAATGGTGTTGGGAGAACTGGACAGCCACATGCAAAAGAATGAAGGTAGACCACTATCTTTCACCCTACACAAAAATTAACTTAAAATGGATTAAAGACTTGAATGTAAAACCTGAAACCATAAAACTCCTAGAAGAAAATATAGGCAATACACTCTTTGACATCAGTCTTAGAAGCATCTTTTCGAATACCATGTCTACTCAAGCAAGGGAAACAAAAGAAAAAATAAACAAATGGGACTACTTCAGACTAAAAAGCTTCTGCAAGGCAAAGGAAACCATGAACAAAATGAAAAGACAACCCAGCAACTGGGAGAAAATATTTGCAAATCATATGTCTGACAAGAGGTTAATTTCCAAAATATACAAAGAACTCATACAACTCAATCACAAAAAACCAAACAACCCGATTGAAAAATGGGCAGAGGATGTGAACAGACATTTTTCCAAAGAAGATACACAGATGGCCAACAGGCACATGAAAAGATGTTCAATATCACTAATCATCAGGGAAATGCAAATCAAAACTACAATGAGATATCACCTTACACCGGTTAGAACAGCTATAATCACCAAGACAAAAAACAACAAACGTTGGAGAGGATGTAGAGAAACGGGAACCCTCAAACACTGCTGGTGGGAATGCAAACTGCTGCAGCCACTATGGAAAACACTATGGAGATTCCTCAAAAAATTAAAAATAGAAATACCATACGATCCAGCTATCCCACTACTGGGTATTATCCAAAGAACATGAAATGAACAATTCAAAGAGACTTATGCACCCCTGTGTTCACTGCAGCATTATTCACCATAGCCAAGATGTGGAAGCAACCCAAGGGCCCATCGACTGATGAATGGATAAAGAAGATGTGGTATCTATATACAATGGAATACTCAGCCATAAAAAAAGACAAAATCGTCCTATTTACAACAACATGGATGGACCTTCAGGGTATTATGCTAAGCGAAATAAGCCAGACAGAGAAAGACAAATACAGCATGATTTTACTCATGTGTGGAAGATAAACACATGGACAAAGAGAACAGATTAGTGGTTACCAGAGGGGGAGGGGCTGGGGGGTGGGCAAAAGGGGCAAAGGGGCACATTTATATGGTGATGGATAAAAACTAGACTATTGGTGGTGAGCATGACACACTCTATACAAAAACTGATATATAATAATGTACACCTGAAATTATACAATGTTATAAACCAATACGACCTCAACGAAATTAAATAAATAAATAACTTAGGGAGAATGTTTTTTTTTTTTTTGTGAGGAAGATCAGCCCTGAGCTGACATCCATGCCAATCCTCCCCTTTTTGCTGAGGAAGACCGGCTCTGAGCTGACATCTATTGCCAATCCTCCTCCTTTTTTCCCCCAAAGCCCCAGTAGATAGTTGTATGTCATAGTTGCACATCCCTCTAGTTGCTGTATGTGGGACGCGGCCTCAGCGTGGCTGGGGAAGCAGTGCGTCTGTGTGCACCCGGGATCCGAACCCGGGCCGCCAGTAGCGGAGTGCGCGCACTCAACCACTAAGCCACGGGGCCGGCCGAGGGAGAATTTCTAATGACCTAAGTGATGACATATTTATAAAAGGCAGAATGCCAAATTGAATACAGTTTAAGTTCAACCCCTACTGAGCTGTGTGTGCTTACACACGGGAGGAGCAATGTGAGCAAACACGTGAGCATTGCAAGTACAGGCTGACGAGCATGCTGGCCCACACGGTACCTGGGCCCCACGTGCCTACTGAGCACTCGACACGTGGCTGGTACAAATCGAGATGTGTAGGGAGTGTAAAACACACACTGGATTTCGGAGCCTGGGCACAAAAAAGGAATGTAAAATGTCTCATTAATAATTTTTTAATATTGATTACATGTCGAAATGATAATATTTTAGATATATGGAGTTATATTTAAGATATGATTAAAATTAATTTCGGCTATTTCTTTTTATGCTTTTTAAATGTGGCCGCTAGAAAGTTTCCACTGTCCCATGGAGCTGGCACGCTCCTCAAGAGCCTGACTCTCCGGGAGCAGCGGCGGGCTGCTTTCTTCTCTGTGGGACGCCTGGCCTCTGGCACTGTGTTATCTGGTGCTCCACAAACTGAATACTGGTAACGCAAAAGTAAAACAGCAACTCCAGTACAGACGGTTGAATGGTGACCCCACCAACACAAAAAAAGATATATGTCCCTGTCCTAATGCCTGGAAACCGTGACTGAGACCTTACTGGGAAAAGGGTCTTCGCAGACGTCATTAAGGATCTCGAGGTCATCCTAGATTCTCTGGGTGGGCCTGAAATCCAGTGACAAATGTCCCTAAAAGAGACACACAGAGGAGAGATAGAGAGAGGAGGAGAAGGCCATGTGGAGACAGAGGCAGAGACTGGGGTGACGTGATGCGGCCACAAGCCGAGGAACACTGGGGCCCCCAGAGCTGGAAGAGACAAGGCAGAATCCCCCGCTAGAGCTGTCAGAGGGACACGGCCCTGTGACACCTGGATCTTGGACTTCTGGCCTCCAGACTGTAAGAGAATAAATTCCTGTTGTGTTAAGACATCCAGTTTGTGGTCATTTGGATGGCAGCCCCAGGACCTCATTCACGCAGTGCGCTACTTAAACAGCATGCGTGCACGGGCACGTCCACGCACACGTATGAGGCAGATGTGTGTGCATGAAGAATGTGTGAGTGATAACATAACATTATTCGTGGTACCAGTTAACTGTTACTAAGAGCTTACTACTACAGACCAGGAGTTCTCAACCAGGGCCACCTCGCTCCAGGGGATGTTGACGATGTCTGAAGACATTCTGGGAGGTCAACACCAGAGAAACAGTGCTCCTGGCATCTGGTGGGTGGAGGCCAGGGATGCTGCTTAACATCCTACAGTGCCCAGGGCAGTCCCCCCACAGAGGATGATCCGGCCCCAGTTGAGAAGGATGCTTGGCTGGGAATCTCTGGGGTAGGCTGAGAACTGTCCATCACCCTACTGGCCTCATCTCGCTCGTCCTCACCGTGGACTCAGGATGTGGGCTTCTGATACTCTGGTTTGTAATAAGAAACATGTGTTCTTAGTCCGCTGTTCCCGGCACAGAACTCCTAAAACCCTTGGAACTTCCTAAGTGATGAGAGCGATAAAAGTATCTTGTTAGGTTAGTGAGGTGACTTTTGGAAAGCCCCTATGGATGGGGGCTGGTTGCCAGGGGAACCAGCCATGTGGTCAGAGGGTTGGAACTTTCAGTCCCGCCCCCTGGCCTCCGAGGAGGGGAGGGGCTGGAGGTTGAGCTCAATAGCCAACCGCCGATGATTTAATCCACCACGTCCGAGTCAGGAAGCCTCCACAAAAACCCAAACAACGGGGTCTGGAGAGCTTCCAAGACGGTGAGCACGCGGAGGTGCTGGGAGGGTGGGCACCCGGAGAGGGCACGTAAGGTCCTCGCCCCTCCCCACCCCTCGCCCTCTGCACCTCCTCCATCTGGCTGTTCCTGAGCTGTAGCCTCTCATCATAACCCCGAAAGCTGGTCAGCGAACGGGCTTCCCGAGTTCTGAGAGCCGCTCTAGCAGATTAATTGAACCCAAGGAGGGGCCAGGGGAGCCTCTCATTCACAGCAGGTCGGTAAGAGGCACAGGTGATGGCCTGGACTTGGGGTTGTCGTCTGAGGCGGGGGGCACTCTGTGGGACTGAGCCCTCACCCTGTGGGATCTGACTCGATCTCAGGGTAGATAGTGTCAGAACGGAGCTGAATTGCAGGACACGCAGCTGGTGTCGGAGAATTGCTGGTGTGGGGATACCAACCCCCCCTACACACACACATACACACCCAATTGGGTGGCACACTCTTAGTACAATTAGTATTCCCACCTGTCACAGGAGGAAACTGAGGCACGGGGAGCCCAGGGAGTTTGCCTGAGACCTCACAGCTCGTCAGCAGCAGCCTGACTCCAAAATCCTTTTTCTTTATCCCTTTCCATATGGTGTGAAATTTTTTTAAAAGATGTTCATGCATTAGGGTTCGTTGTTTTTTTTAAAAAAAAAACTAGAATCAGGCAGGACTGCATAGCTGCAGCAGAAGAAAAAGTCCACTGGCACAACCTTCAGCAACACCTCGCTAAGCCTCCAGGTCCTCATCTGTGAAAAGGGGCAAATTCCACTTGAGATGCGACAGGAGAGTTCGTTAGAAAGGAAGATTCCTCTGGCCAGCCCTGGAGAATCCAAAACAGAGGCTGGGGCGGGCAGCTGGGTGGGGCCCCCGCAGGGGACCAGGACCTCACCAGCAGAGCCGCCAGCGCAGGTAAGTTCCCCGGTGGCTCTCGCTCCTGACCCCTGAGCCACGGTCTTGGCCGGACCTCACGTACCTGTGGTGGGAGGGTGCGGTTCCTGCCTGCCCGGCCTCCGTTCCACCGACTCTGGGAACAGCCGAAGCTCCCTCCCACACCTGTTTCCCTTGGTGGAAACGTCCACTCCCTGTTCTCATTCCACGAGGTCTGGAGAGAGGTGACACCACCCCATGGCCACGAGAGTGGGCATGTGACACAGGCCTCACAAATCAGAGCATTTCTTCTTCCCCACCAGCCACAGTGATCGGGTCAGGGACTGGCACGTGATCCAAGCTGGCCAGTGAGAATCAGCCCTGATTCTCCAATCAGCCAAATAGTTGGGGAACTATTTGGAGGAAAGATGTTCTCTTTCTGTTGAGGGGCTGAATTGGGAGGATATCAGCCAGCAGCCACCTACCTTTGCCAAAGCAAGAGCAAAACGCAAAGCAAAGCTGAGTAGCCATGAGAGGATGCTGACGACTGGGTGAGTGCCTGGATCAAGCTATGCCTGAAGCACACAAACATTTGTGCTCAAGCTGGGTTGAGGTGTGTTTTGACTGTCACTTATAACCAAACATGTTGTAACTGATACAGAACTCCAGTGGAACAGAGCCAGGCTCTGTGAAGTTCCAGACATTTGCCTTCCTCCCTTACCTCTAAGGGTAACCAGGAAAGTGTGTCCCTTTGGGGGATAAGGCCATGGCATTAGCCATGTGACTGGAGCAGGAACAAAGCCAGACAAATCATCCACGTGTGGGCCGCCCACCTGCAGGTCCTGATGAGGAAGCACCTACTTCCGCCCCACTCACCTGTGGGCTGTGCTTCTCCCACAGGGCGGGGATGAGCCTCTGGACAGTCTTGTACTCAACTGGAATCTCATACACATGCAGGTCCACGCTGTCGCCAAGCCCCAGCTTCTCCAGCTCCTGGAAGCGAGAGGAGAGGGAGTGTCATGGCAGTAGGTGAGGGCTGCGGGGATAATGTGCTCCCCGGGGATAAACTGACTCATCCTCAGAGAGCAGGGAAGCTCTCGACTCCCCGAGCAGAGCCAGAAGGCATGTGTGCTGGCCTACCCCAGAGCTCCTCTGCGTCCCTTCCCCTCCCACTTGTCTCGAACTCTCTCTGCATTTCCATGGGCCATGGTGTGACGCTGTGGCCTCTGGAGCAAGGCTCCCGGGTTTGAGCCCTGCCCATCTGACCTTGGGCAAGTTACTTAACCTCTCTGAGCCTCAGTTTTCTCATCTGTAAAATGGGGATGAGAAAGTACTCACCTCACAAGGTAGTTAGAAGAATTAAATGAAAGAATTCACACTAAGCACTCCAAGCAATGCTCGGCACATTCTAAGTGCTCAAATCATGTTGGCTACGCCACTACTACTGCTGCTGTTGTTGGTTATTACCTTTTCCCCCTTGTCATACCTGAGAAGAACTGTTTATAGACTTGGTACATGGTACATGGCAGGGTCTCAGTATCCATTTACAGAGGGGCCCAGCTCCTTGAGGAGCCTCTAACCGTCTCGGGCACAAGAGGGTTTTAGGATATCATGAATTATGCACAAAAATGGACCGTGAACTTTTCTGGGGAAAAGTGTCTGCGCTTTTCTGGGGAAATGTCAAGGCTTTCCCCGGATTCTCAGTGTGGTCTGCTAAGGACCCGCCTGTTAGCTCCTTGCAGGCAGAGCCCACAACCAGGCCTCCTTGCCCAGCCAGCCCAAGGCACAGCGCGCAGCAGGCCCAGAACCAACTCTGCTGGAAGAACAGTGCTCTCACCAATCCTGGCACCTGTCTGGGGACGAAGGTTTCGGCTCAACAGAAAACCTGAGCATTCTTCATAGTAAAATTAGTACTCGGAACAATGGTCACCGGCAGGGCTGTGCTGCGTCCTCAGCTCCCGAGCAGCGGCCTGAGGACGCCCCGCGCTGTTGGAGTTCCGGGGGCCGGGCGGGGACGTCGTCTCTGGCCTCGCTGAGCTCCCCTGGCGAGCACTTGCATCTCTTGCAGCAGCTGCAGGACTTCTTTATCCGGTGGCCTTGACTTGGCTGTCCACGCTGTCCCCACTCTGCGCCCAGTCCACGCACTTCCTCTGGAGCATCCGACGCCTGGAAGGCAGGCCCCTCCTCACCAACAGATAACTCCAAAGTGCTCCCCAAAGAGGATGCGTCCAGGTCACCCGGAGACGAGGACCCCTGGGCGGTAGGTGGGGCCTGTGGGGGTGAGGGGTCTCCAACACCAACACTGAGAACCGGGGCCCTGTCCCTCTCGCCAAGCCCGGTGACACGTGCGATCAGGAAGGGCCCCTCGAGAAATCCCACGGCTGGACAGGGAAGGCAGAGTGCAAACCTGCTGCCCCGACACAGGCGAAACCGACTATGAAACATCTGAAATATGCTAAGGAGAAAACTCTGTAAACTATTTTATTTCTCCCACAATCATTTTTCTCGGTCATTCATGATCCCTTTTCAACTGAGCTTCAACTTCCCCGACTGTGCAGCGGGGAGGGAGAGGACACTCTTCACAGGGCTTCAGGACCCGGAGATGCGGCAGGCAGAGAGCCGGACAGCGCACAGGCGATTCCCACTCAACTGCGCTGCCCGCAGGCTGTCAAACTCCAAGAAGCGCTAGTGGCCTTCCCTCTGTGATCCCTGCTCCCACACCGCCGATATCATACACGTGCGCCCGGCGTCTGCTCGCTGCGCTTCCGGCCCAGTTTCTTTGAACAACCACGCCAACACACACAGGCCACCGTTTGCTTGTGGTTTGCTGGATACACCGGAGTCTTGCTTGGCAAGTTCATTTTTTGGCATACCAGACCCGACCATCTCCCGCCCCACACTGCCCAGCCTCCTGCCTCCAAGGCAGAATCTAAAATCACATCACACCCTTTCCCTGCTCCCGCCCTGCTGTGGCTCCCTACATGCTCAGAATAAAACCCCACCTCCCACCACGGCCCACCAGGCCCTGCGGAGTCGGGACCCGCCGACCTCCTTGCCCTCCTCTCCTTTCATCCCCCTTTGCTTACTCCTCTCCAGCCATACGGCCTCCCACACATCAGGCTCACTCCTGCCTCGGGGCCTTTGCACTGGCTGTTCTCTCTGCTTGGAATGCTCTTCCTCTCGCTTTCTGGTCAGTCGACTGCTCCTCAGCCTTCATGTCTCAGCCTCCCAAGAAGACCCTCCGATGCCCAGCCCTCTTTACACACTCTCTCGGCCCCATGGGTTGATGTCCTTGCCACGGTGCAGGACGTGCACACAGCAGGAGCTTGTGAATGCCATCTGAGCAGCTCAAGCTTAGACTGAGAACGCACACCCACGTGACGCTGGGTGTGCACCAGACCTCCCGCAGGCACCTCGACCTCCCTGACTGCAAATGGTGGTTTGGACTAGCTGCTGCCTGCGACCCCTCTTTCCTTTTCACCCTGTCCTCCAGTTAAAAGCAGCTCCTCATTATTCACAATAGCCAACAGGTAGAGACAGCCAAGTGTCCCTCAATGGATAAAAGGATGAATAAACAGAATGCGGTCCATCCACACAATGGAATATTATTCAGCCATAAAGAGGAATGAAGTGCTGCTACATGCTACCAGACACAGATGAAGTTAATCTTGTTAATTTGCTGTTTTCTTGTTTAACCTGAGGGGTGACTCAAGGGTCACAAGGATTTATAAGCTTGTTTTGCAGAAGAAAAATAATGCCTTTAAGGAAGTTATGACCACCAGATAACCTCCCCAGCTGCCCAGAAGTCTGGTTGCCCAAGGGCTTATCTGGAGTGAAAGAAACTCAGGTTTCCCCTTGGTTTCTCTGAAACTCCTTCCCCCCAGCCCCCTAGCTCTAAAAAGACCCCCTGCTTCCTTCTTTCATTGAGGAGAATTTGAGAGAACCTATCCTCCCACCTTCTCATTTTGGCCAATTTGAATAAACCTTTCTCCATCTCCAAGCACGTGTCTCAGTGGTTGGCTTATTGTGCACCAGGCACACAAATTTGAGATTAAGAGGTTCAGTATCACAAGATTCATGAATAAACCTTGAAAACATTATGCTGAGTGAAAGAAGCCCGACACAAAAGGCCTCATGCTGTATGATTCCCTTTATCTGAAATGTCCAGAACAGGCAAATCCATAGAGACAGACAGCAGACTGCTCCTTGCCAGAGGCTGGGGGAGGCAGGAATAGGGAGTGACTGCTAACGGGCACAACATTTCCTTTGGAGTGAGGAAAATGCTCTGGAACCAGACGGACATGGTTGCACAACACTGTGAATGTCATAAATGCCACTGAATTTAAAATAATTTTAGTTATGTAAGTTTCATCTTAAAGAGAGAGAGAGAAAAGAAAAAAATAGCTCTTAATTGCATGGATGGTGGAGGGTAGGAGTCAGGGGCATAGCCTCCAGAGCTGGTGAACAGGTTTGTTCCTTCCTCCCCACACTCACTGGCTGGGTGACCTTGGGCAAGTCACTCACTGTCTCTGTGCCTGAGTTCCCTCATCTGCAAGTGGGATTAACAGTAGTACCCAGGGGCTGGCCCGGTGGCGCAAGCAGTTAAATGCATGCGCTCCGCTGCGGCAGCCCAGGGTTCACCGGTTAGGATCCCAGGCGTGCCCCGACGCACTGCTTGGCAAGCCATGCTGTGGCGGCGTCCCATATAAAGTGGAGGAAGATGGGCACGGATGTTAGCCCAGGGCCAGTCTT